GTTTTTTTAATGGCATGGAATCACTGAGTGGTCTAGATAGAATATACACCCCAAATCAGACCAAATATGGCCCCTGCTAAGCTAGTCCTATTGCATAAATGGAAATTTGTCAAGTCTACAACTTGCATAAGCGGCCCTGATTTAATATGTCTACTGTAGTTCAGAGCAGCAATTGGATGTAGGTATTTGGAATGCAAATCCTTGTTTGTCTTGTCTTCTGGGCAGATGGGTCAGTTCAAAACTATTTCCTCAAACTTAGGAAGAAATGTTGTTGTGCTCCCATCAGCAACAATAAAAAAATGAGAACAAGAAGGAATTTTTTTTGAGCAAACTGAACAGCCTTGTACAAAATAATGCTTCAATGCAGACAATGCAACTTGCACAAAATGGCCATGATTGCTGCTTGTTGGTGTCTCCTTAAATAATCAGTCTGTTATTCTGTGGTTGTGTAACATTTTTTAAGTTCTCGGAGGCTGTTTGTTTACTTAAATATCTATTGATGGAGCTTGTAAACACAATTTCACAAAATGAGTCTTTTTATTCAAAAATTGCATAACAGACAGCATGAGCAATTATGCTACAATTTGTGTACCCAAAACCTTGGCAACAGCACCAATGCAGAAGTTGCTTGTAGAATTGTAACATCCAAGTGTCTTTTTTAATTCAAATTCAGACAAAAATCTTCCTCAACTGAAGAATCAGCCCCACATGCAGTTTTCATAAACCTAGACCAAGTTGACAAGGGCCTTTAGCAGTCTAAATTGCAATAGCAGCTCTGCCTCTTCAGCTCCCCTGCTCTTTCTGATCTGGACCTCTACTCATATCCCTGCTCTTCTGTAGTCCCACTCCTTTGGGCTGAAAGCAATATTTTAGAGGGGGCCACACCTGTTCTTTGCGTGCCTCGCTTCTCACAGGAAAAAGATGCTAGTCATCTACAGAGACCACTTGCACAAATGATGTAATATAGGCGAGATAAGAAAGGGCTGAAGATAGGAAGAGGTTTGAAGATGAAGGAAAGATAAAGAGGTTGTATGTCTTGAATGAAGGAACAGGAACATAGGAAGCTCCCTTATGCTGAGTCAGTGCAAGCCACTCTTTGCCAGCTCTGACTGGTAGCCACTCTCTGTGTTTTAATGAAGGTTTCTTTTTTAGCCCTGCCTTAGGAAGGGCTCTGTTACAGGTAAACTTCCATCCAAGCCCTAACCAAGCCAAACCCTGCTTAGCCTCTGAAATCAGATTAAATGAGTTCTGTTGAGGTTTGCAGGTTAGTCAAGATGCCGTGATAGTGCTGGGGCAGGCCTTTTGTTCCAGAGTTTACACTTGATATTCTTCTTCATGTGCTAGTTTTTCCAGTTGCTGAGACCTTTTTTATTTATTTATTGGTTAATGTCAGGGGAAAGGGGTATTTATTTATTTATTTTATTGGACTTCTCCCCCGCCCATCTAGACCAAAGGTCTACTCCAAAACAGCACCCCATACATCTAACTGGAATTGGTGGGGTCCTCTCTCATATGGGAGGGCTCTGTTATTTCATCTTTCTGCACACCGAGAGTTTGCTAGAATTCCAGTAAATGTAATGGGGCTTAGTTCTGACTTAGCACCCATGTGGTGAGTCAGTCTGAGCTTTCCAGCTGCCAACTACGTCCTTGACACAATCTGATACTACCTTGTAGAAATGGTATCACTAAACACAACTGCCTTCTGCCAAGTAAATAATCTGAAAGCATAGACTTAACTCTTTGATGGTGCATAACCATATACCGTGTCACTCTCACTCCAAACCTCTTTGGCTTCGATGAATTCAATTAAAGTGGTGAATGAGGTATGATGGGACATTATGATGGGACAATATGGCCGCTATTGAGACCTCTTTCGTCCTTTGTAGCCTGCTCTTAAAGGGCCATGCTTCCCATAATATGACAGATTGGATGGCAACATTCCCACACAGTTTGTAAATACTTGATAATAACAACATGGTAAGAAGTGGTCTGATCAGTTTTCCATAGAAAATGGGATGATGATGATGATGATGATGATGATGATGATGATGATGATGATGATGATGATGATGATGATGCATTTCTCCCAACAAGGGACCCAAAGCGGCTCACGACATTAAAATTCACACAATTTAAAAACACAATTAAGTGAAATATTAAAAGATAAATTAAACAATATATGATATAAAATACAATTAAAAGATTAAAACATGAAAACATTAAAAAGATTAGAATTATCTGCTAAAATGGGATTCAGGGATTCAGTTGTAATTGTTAAAAGCCTGCCTGAAGAGATGGGTCTTTAGCTTTTTCCGGAAGGATAAAAGGGAAGGGGCCATCCTGACCTCCCGAGGGACCTTTCTTCTCTTTCCTTTAATATAAAAATCTATGGTTGCCATGTTTGCCAGATGTACTTATTACAGCATCACATTCTGCTTTCTGTTAAAAGACTTAAGAATCCATATGTTCACAATCACAGGAAACCCATTGGCTGAACATTCTAACTACTTTAAATTCTTGTCCCTTACGTTGTAGAGAGACACTGGCATGCAGATAGTTTCTGCAAACTGCATTTTTTAAAAAATGTGTGTGTATTGTTTTAAACTTAAATTCAAAATGAAATGCAGCATAATCCTAAGCATAGTTACTCAGAAGTAGGTTGTATTCAATAGGTTGTTATGAGAAGTAGTTTCATACCAAATTACACTTTAACGTATTAGGATTGCACCTTCAGGCAGCTACATACTCTCTCAAGCAGTTAAGACAATGTGTTTGATATGCTAAGTATGCTGGCATTGGAGAACTAGATTATAAATAACATGGGATCTTTCGTATTGCAGAGAAGGTTATGTAAGCATTAAAAAAATACTCAGGTTCTCTCATCTTTGGCAGCAGGGGTGACCAAAGCTTTCAGTTGTTCCAGGTAGGAAGCAAAGTGTCACCTTCTATACACATGGCAATTGTGTCCTCTTTGGAACTGAAGGGATATACTGTAGATATTAAAAACCATGGGTGACAAAGCAGAACCCTAAGGAACACCACAGGCCAATGGCCAGGGTGTTGAGCAGGAGTTACTCAGCACCGCCTTCTGAGTTCTCCCCTCCAGGAAGGACTGGAGCCACTGTAAAACAGTGCCTCTGAATCGCATCCTAGAGAGATGGCCCAGAAGGATACCATGCTTGATGGTATCAAAAGCCGCTGAGAGGTCCAGCAGAACCAACAGGGACACACTCCGCCTGTCATGAAGGTGACCAAAGCTGTCTCTGCCCCATAGCCAGGTCTGAAACCAGATTGAAATGGGTCTAGAGCAGTGGTCCCCAACCTTGGGCCTCCAGATGTTCTTGGACTTCAACTCCCAGAAATCCTGGCCAGCAGAGGTGGTGGTGAAGGCTTCTGGGAGTTGTAGTTCAAGAACATCTGGAGGCCCAAGGTTGGTGATTACTGGTCTAGCGAATCCATTTCATCCAGGAACCCCTGGAGCTGAGAACCCACCACATGCTCCAGCAGATGAAAAGTATCAATTAAAACAGGACAAGCTGGGGCCAAAGTTACATCCACTGGGTCTGTATCAATTACAGCATCCTAGTCAGAGCGAATCCGAGTGACATTATCTGCAAAGTGTCGTGCAAATTCCTCACAGCGGGTTGTGGAGTGGTCAATATTTTGTTTTATGCAAAGGAAATTTATTCATTTCAAGAGAGTGATTTCCAACTGTTCCTTAAGTATTCACTCACTCTGGGCTATTAAATCTGACAAAAAGAATCGTTGGCCACCTTCTTCTAATACTTATGCACTAGCAAAGGAAAAAAATGCTACATGCCCTGCTAGCTTTTGATCTCAGCAGACATCTGAACGATTCCCCCAACCCTTGCAGGGCATGGTGTCCCTCCCAGTCAGTTCACACATTGCTCCCAGTTGCTTGCATATAGTTTATTAGCCTGTTTCCAACATATAAGATTGGAGGCAGTTTCTGTATTTCTCTGGAAATCAGTTATATGTTCTTATTTAAGCCTTCCTTCTCTTCTGTACTCTATAACTTGGTCTAACCATTGGAGAGGACAGCAAGGTTAACCCTGATGTGATTCCCATGGGATATCTGTAAAGCTGTTTGAGGATTGCACCCTTTAAAAGAGGGGTTTTATGATGTCTAAGGTAGAGAGATATAGACTTTTCACTGCCCTAGATTTTAAAAAAGCATGTTGGCCCAAATCCTTTTGTGCAGTTAAATCAGCACAATGGAAATGGCGTAATTCACAATCCAGCAAATTGTCACTAATCAATGAGCCCTCAATTGGATTTTTCAGTGTGTGCCAACCAGGACTCATAAACTAGTGGCATTGTGAGTTACACCATTTCCTTTCCTTCATCATAACCACAGTACACAAGAGGATTTTTGGTCATTATATCTGTTTTTATTTGCAAGAAATATATTACTGCTGATACATTACAGTTATTCTCAGAAATTCAGATTTTTGTTTTTTGCTTTGTGTGTGATCCATGTTGAGGGGGGAGGGAAGCACATATTAGTATAGTATTGAGAATAATGCTGCTGTTATTACCATTACTATTGTATGTTGTACCATCAAGTCAATTGCACTGCTGATTCTAGTAGAGTTTCCAAGATAAGTGAGATATTTAAATAGTAGTTTTACCATTGTCACCTCCCAGTGTGACCGATTTTTCCTTGTGTCTTTGTTTAATTCAGATTTTACCCTGCCCGTCTAGTGGCCATGCCACTACTCTGGACAGCTTACAATGAGAGCATCAACAGCTTAAAGTTAGATCCAATACTAAGCAACAATTAAGACATTAAACAAAAGAGCAGGCAAGCCCCCAACTTAAATTAAATTTATAATAGGATGGTAGATTCCATGGCTGAGCAGCGATTCAAATCCAGATCTCCTGAGTCCTAGGACAATGCTCTACTCACTATACCACTCTGGCTTTCACTGCTACTTTTACTACTAGTAATTGTTCTTCCCTTTTTTATTTCTCTACAGAAACTCAACATATTGCATGAAGGTGTCAATGTCCTTGACCGTTGCTGAAAATGAATCAGGGCTTTGCTACAACAGCACCATCCGCTACTTAGAAAAATCGGAGATCACTAGAACCAAGGTCATTTCCTGTCCCGATATTGAGGATTATAAAACAGGAAACGAAGAACCAGATGTCATATGGTACAAGGTAATGCAGTGACTGGCTTGGTCTTTAGTTAATATACTACATGTTACGGCCAAATTTGTTGCTTTCCTCAGGTTGGGGGCATGCTTGTAGTGCTGATGGAATGAAGATCTTTTTGGAACATTATGGGATGTGAAAAGAGGTATTTCCATTAGCCACTGAGTTTGGAATTCTGTCCCATCCTTTAAACCATGGGCACAATATGGAATGAATTCACCAAGCATCTTTCTTGGCAAAGAAATTAGTGCTTCTAAGTATTGAAGTTCTCACTGCTCTCCTACTGTTGAGTCATGAGCAGTTCGATGTAGGAGCTGAAGGTGTGATGAAAACAATTTTTTCCAATGCTTTTCATCTGTTTGTTTAACAGATTTCTGCCTTGTCTTTCTGGCAGGTTCTGGTGCTTAGAACAGCCAATCCTTAAACTTGCATAATTGCATAATATGGGTAATATTATCCCCCAAACAGCCTCTGAAACAGCCTGCTTAAAACCAGCACTAGAAAGCATGCAGAGTAAACTGACTTGGAAGGGCAAGTAGATGGGTTCTTGAAGGACCAGCGTGTTCTAATCACTCTTATTTAAATGTAGAGAGAACCCCCTTTATCTGGCGAGGCTGTCAAATCCAAATGCTCAGCCTTATCACAACAATACATCCACAACAAGACACACTAATCACCCATCTCCAGAAAAGGACAAAAGCCTATCTCACAGCCATAAATACTGCAGTCCCAAGCCAACTACACCAGAGCACAGAGTGCTGTCCTCTGAAGATGCCGGCCACAGAGACTGGCGAAATGTTAGGAAGAACAACCTTCAGAACACGGCCAAAGAGCCCAAAAAACCCACAACAACCATTTAATCCTGGCTGTGAAAGCCTTCACGAATGTTGCTTTCATTTTTTTGTGGTTTTTAAAACTACAATTCCCAGAATCTCCCAAATTCTGGGAATTGTGTTCCCAAAGTCTGATGTTTTCCAATTCCAATGTCCTCAATTCTTATATCACTTCTTAAATTTCTGTGATGTTTGTGGGTTACTGTGATGCTACTAGTAGTCTTAATATTTGGTTTGTTTCCATAGTGATAAGTCCTTGATAGGGTTTTTTGTTCTGTTTCATTGAGGACTGGTGGGATAAAAATGTAATAGAAATAAATAGAAGTCCAAATACACCACTTGAGACTTAACAGCTCACTCCAAATGTTTAAGGAACCAGAATGATAGGGATGGAAATTTGGGGGTCACAGACTGTCTGTATGGATTGAGGTCCCTATTCAGGTGTAAAGGGCTTAGCTCTTGGTACAGCATGTTTTGTAGTTGTTTATTGAATGCAAAAGCAGTACAGATCTCCATTTTTTAAAAAAACAAAAATAATTCAAATGACAAAAAAGGCAGCTCCCATCCATGGAATTTGTTTAATAGGCATAATAGTGGCATGTCAGACAGCAAATTCCTGTCAGCCATACCTAGTTTGTTTGAGTGCAGCTGCCAATGCAAAAAACCCACGAGTTTGTGCACAAATAATTTGAGTTCCATCTCATCAGCCTCACTGTGTTCAGTCTGTGCACAAATAATTTATTTGGAACCGGGATGACATTCAGGGAGCCATGATATGTCAGAAGAGAGCAGAAAAGCCAATGATGTTCTGTCAGCTTGCTTTTTTCCCCCTTTTCTTTTATAAGAGCCCTGCATATTTCAATGAAGACTGACAAAACATGTGCTATGACATTGGGTTTAGCAGAAATGAGATTTTATTTTTATTGTTGCTCTCTTTTTTAAAAAAAAGTTCGGGATGTTCTCTCTTGTTCGTTGTTAAGGCAGCTGCACCCTCAAATGTCTGGAGAAATTTATGCAAGCCAATTCAGTGAAGGAAAGAGTGTCTAGGAGACAAAAGTATCTGTTTGTTTGAGAGTTGGTGAGCTAGTGCAGTGTAATGGTTAGAGCAGTGGTCCCCAATCTTGAGTCTCCAGGTGTTCTTGGACTAAAACTCACACGAGCCTTCACCACTAGCTATGTTCGACTGGATTTCTGGGAGTTGTAGTCCAAGGACAGTTTGGGAACTACTGGGTTAGAGTGTCAGAATAGGATGTGGGTGAAACAGGTTTGAATCCCCACTGGGCCATTGTCCTTCATCTTGACCTACTTCAGAATAAAGTAGACGTAAATGTTGGGTAGACTCAGAGGCTGAAATCCTGTTGCATAGTGTAGTAAACGGTGATAGAGTAGGCTTATTTGAATGGGTAGAACCTACGGGGGATTGGCTTCACCAAATCACCAGGGACCCAGTCAACCTACTCTAGGGTGACCTACTGGGGTTAAGCAACAGGATGTTTTCCTTCAGAACTAAACCGGTGGTTGGTTCAAAACAAAGTTTAAAAAAAGGAGACACGTCTTGTCCCAGCAGAGTTACTATGTAATAATGTAAATAGTAATAAGAATTAACAATAATTGGAGGGAAAGGGGAATCATCCATGGTCCTTGGATTTGTAGCTGAATGCCCAGGCCAGTGTGATATGGAAATCCAGTGCAGGTTTGGAATATAAGAGCGAGAATGTCCCCGTTCCACTTTGAACACACCTATTCTGGTCTGAATTCAGAAGCCAGCTAAGGGCAGGATTGGTTGGTATCGGAGTAGGGAGTTCCAGGTTCTCCAGGTAGAGCTAAGAAGGAATCCTTTCTGAAACCATGGCAGTGCTCAGCTAGATACGCCAATGGTTGGATCCAGGACAAGGCAGCTTTGGATGTTCCTATAGTCCGCAGAGGAATATAGGACCTCCTGGATCTTGGTTTGAGGCAGCTTCCTAGTTAATAAGGATATACAGTATATTGCTTTTGCTTAGTGCTCAAAGGAGCTTCCATGCACCAGCCTTTCATAAGCCTTCCAACAATGCTTGTAAGGTCAGTTCAGTATTATTATCCCCATATTGCAGATGAAGAGACTGAGGCCAGGAGCAAGAGCCACTGGCTTGCCTAAGGCCATGTGGTGAGTTCATGGCAGAGATGAGACTCGTGCCTGCATCTCCCATATCTCTTCACTTATTCCCACAGCAAAGAACTGCTTCAAATTCCTGACCAGTAATAAAACTTATGACGTGACCTTGAGTGGTTTTCTTAATGCTTTGCTGTGGAAGCCTGCTCATGTTGGTATCTGGTGTTTGGCTTTTCAGGAGTGTAAGCCTAAAATGTGGAGAAGTGTAGTCGTTCAAAAAGAAAACACTCTCTTAATACAAGATGTTCAAGAAGATGATGGTGGGAATTACACTTGCGAGCTGAAGTTTGAAGGAAAGCTAATAAGACGAACTACAGAGCTGAAAGTTACAGGTAAGAAAATGTGTGGGGTGAAATTAAAGAGTAAGGGACAAAGCAGGAAAAGTTGATTGTTGAGATGTATGGTTTAAAACAGTTTGTAAGCCTGGTCTTATCTTAAATGGGCAGCGTGGACTTTAATGGAACATCATCAGAACAGATGCTAGTCATCAAGCCTGAGGTTCTCTTTGACCAAGAGTTGTTTTCTGAGGTAAAGACTTTATAGGCATCAACTAGAAGCAAAAGCCTGTTGAGGACCTTTTTGACCTCACTGCAGGCAAAGTCAGAAGGTTCTTTTTTTAAAAAAAAAATATCTATTCAAGGCGTTGATTCAAGTATGAAATAGTGAAAGAAGATCATACCTTGAGGAACCCAGCTGGGTTTTGAGCACAGACTAGTATTTTTTATACATGACAGAGACACGTAGTTTTGAGTTACCCTCTGTGTTTATGTGTATTCCTTAATGCCAATGATGTGTTACAATGTTGTGTGTGTGGCCTGTTCACACTCTTCTTGCCTGGATCTTCACTTTGACCACCTCATTCATTCATTCAATCTCTATTACAGTCATTGACCAGCGTAAGATGACTACCTCTGTTTGTCTGTTTCTGCATCTGATGTAGCAGGTTTCATCCATAAGAGCTTGTGTCAAAAAAAACAGAACTAGATGATTCAATCTGAAACTAATGGGCAACTTTATCAGATATGAATGTGTGATCATGGTGGAACACATGGAGCCTGTATATGCTGCCCATTCCTGGTCCAACAGGTTCCAGATCTCAAGGCACAAGTTGAGGACTGTGCTTTCTTGGATTTCTATGCAAGAGGGCAAATCTCAGGATGAAGGATGCTGAAAGAGATGTTTAGTTTAATTTAGTTTTTTTGTTGAAAATGGCTTTGAAGCCTGGATCCACATCTCTCCCATTGCCAGCTGGCACCAACGCACTGACTCATGCTGAGGGTGCTTCTATGCCTATAGTGGTTGTGAAACAACAGAATACCCAAATAAATGGATAACCAACCAATCTATCATTGAACTAATCAACCAGGAGAAAGGGGGTGGAACCTGGGAGATGGGGGAGAGAGATACCCTATATCTTTGGTTGCCTTGTTAATTATGTGATGTTCATCATTTGAAGTTCACTTCTGGCTGGAGGATTCTGAGATGTGTAGTCTCCCCCCATGTAACATTTCCAAGCCCTGTTTTGAAATCCTATAGAGCAGCTGTTTTGCTGTAGCTAAGCATTTTGGGTGGCCTTGCCACTCCCCAGGTGGAGTACAGGTGAACAGACTGACTTATGTTTTAAACTGCTTATGTTTTAAAGAGCAGAAAGTGGGGTAGTAGCCTATTTGAACTTCTCAAGGGCTACCTTCTTGGAGGAGACAAGGGGGAACATGTAACCACTAACCCAAATGAGCCCACACACCTGGGAGTCATTTGAATGTCCTTACAGAGCTCCAAGAGATGGGGACTCCCGATAGCATTCTCAGTTACAGGAGCTCTCACAGTCAACCCCGGAAGATCTAACCAATTTCAAAATAGTTGGGATATTCCAGGGGACTGGAAGAATTACAGACATATTGATGTGCCCTCTGTGAATTTAGTAAGTCACATGTTCTGGTGAACACCTGAAGACATAGCTACGATCAGTAAATACAATTAATTTACTTTCTGTTGAAAATCAAACAGAACATTTAACATGAGTATAATGACTGCTACTTATTTTGATTGGTCTTACCTGCCCAATATTCTGGTTATCTCCTAAATGTATGCTTTTAGAGTACACTGTGACTCCATGGTTTGAATGCATTATTTATTGTCCTGTCTACCTTTGGGAAACTAGTGCTGAATGCTTGTTTTCATAAACTTCCAGTCCTGAATTATAATAACTTCACAAGGCAGAAAGTTCTTTCTTTCTTCCAACTTCTGCTCCAGTTTTGCTGAGAGTATGTTTTTAGCCTCTTCGTGGTCTCTTGTCAGCATCCTCTCCCTCGCCGTTTTAATAACGTCCAGTTGTTTCTGAAAAGAAATGTGTGCAAGAATCATTTACTTTGGCCATGGCAAATTATTCCACTCAATTACATCAATGGAATACTTCTGCTTGAACTCCCTGTTCACTTAATCTCTCTTAAATCTCATTAATTCTATAATTTTCAAACTGTGCCTGCTATCATTGCTAGGGAATATAGTTGTGGCGGTTGCTCCTTCCTGGATGGCCCTGATCAGCTGAAATGATCTGTCTAGGTTTCCTTTCGACCAAAGCCAAATTGCGCTGAAGCATCACATTCTGTATTGGTTAATGAAATAGAAGTAAGCATTTCCTATTCATCCCTACCATCTTTATCATGCTCCAGTATCAAAGTAAATTCTTATTTACTGGGGGAACCAAATAACATGATCATGCTTAGGTGGGATATGCATTTTAAGCTTTGCCCTTCCAGGTAGAGGGTAGGAATGCAAAATCTCATGTTTTCTGGGTGAGATTACAAAAACATTTTTTTGCACATATATTGTATTTAATCACTGTTTTGTTTTTGTTTTGTTTTGTTTTGTTCTTTTGCAAACAAAATCAGCAGATCATCACAGAATTGCCTTATTCAAGACAAAGTCACCCTCAAATACCTTCCATTACAAGAGAGATAGCTTGGAACAAAATGATTTTCTTAGGAGAATCCATTTCTCTCACAGAAGATGGCCAGTTAAGGTGAAAGGAAGAGAAAAGCATGGGAGGGGGTAGCAGATTATGTCACAGGCCTCACTTCTCAGAAAACTCTGGGTATTTGAACCTGTGAATCCTGGCTCCATTGCACCACTGATGAGGAATCTCATCAGGCATGGAAATAACCAATTGAAGTGTCTGGGAGAATTGAGACAGTCTAAACCAATGGCAGTGAAGAATTTAGTGAATACCCTCCCTTCCAACATCTTTCAGGAGAAAAGGTATGCTCTTGACACTGCAGAGTCTCATATCCAAGACTCTGCCCTCTCACTGTGAAATCTGCCACTCTCCCGGTTCTCTATCCAGAAATAGGAGGGGAAATTTCAAGAAGCTGTTTGCCCATAGGTCCAGAGCGTAATGGAACGCCTTTGCTACTTTCCATATGAGTGGACTGGCGTATAAGTTTGCCCACCGCTAAGTAATTTGGCATAGAGCAAGAGCAGACTTTCTGCTACATCTGTGCCAAATTTGATGCTGATCTAAGGTCCAGTTTCATAGTTATATTTTTTGTTGTCTGGCATCCCTATTTTTTTTAGGTTGGCTCATGGAATGCCAAACCCTGCTGTCAGCACAATATACTGGTGGCCTCTCGGGCACCAATAATAAACCTACCGATGAGCTTGTTAAGTTGGCAGTTGTTTTCTTTTCTTAGGGAGCAATGAGCTTTTAGGAAAAAAATCAACCACCACCACCCCTCTCTGAGCATATAAAACTGTTAATGAAAATGAAAAGTGACAGCTTTCTGAATGATTTAATAGAAGCTGCCCTTTAATTTTTAGTACTTAAGCTGAAACAGCCATTGACCAGTTGGGAACTGTTTGTATGCCCAATGATGCGAAATGATTTTGGAAGACAAATGGAGGAAGAGAGGAGGAGTATTATGCCAGATTTCCTTTAGAAGTACTGTAAAGACACAATGAGAAATGTAGCGATATGCTGCAGTCTATGAATTATATATCACTCAGCTACTCTGAGTGCTTTGCTTTACAGCTTCCCAAGTTGCCTGTCTGTCTCACAAACATGCAAAGTAATTAGAATGGCAAATAATGTTCTCTTTCATCATGTTATGATGCGTTCTTCCATCACTTTCTCTAGAGGCAACTCATTTCATTTTTGCTATCTTAAATCAGAAGATCACTTCATTGGAGAGGAAATAATTTGTTATCTTAGGCTGGGTAGACTACGTAGAGTTTGTTTATTTGATTTGCAGCCCACCTTTCCCCCCCAAAAGCTGGAACCCAAGATGACTTACAGTGCAATAGAAAAACCATTTAAAAAGCAATACCATATAAATATTAAGACGTAATTAAATGAGCTATCTTATTAAAACAGAATACAGTTGAAACCCATTTTAACACATCTGTTAAAAATAATAATTACAATTAATAACAGAAGAGTACAGCACATCCTTTAAAGCCCCTTGCCTTAGCAGTCAGATATCAACTGTTGAAGGCCAGACTGAATAGGAAAGCTTTTGATTGCCAGCAGAAGGACATCCGGGAGCATGACCTCTATTGGCAGGGAGTTCCATAGTCTGGAAGGCCATCAACATGCCCTGTCTCATGTTCTTATCAACTATGATGGTGATGGGACTGAGAGAAGTGTGTTTTCTGCAGATCTCAAAACCGAGGCTGACAGCCTAGTCTTTCAGATGGCCTAGATCCTGTGGCATTTACATGCTAAGAACTGAATTGGTACCCCATGGAGCTCAATGCTCTCTATAACTGGCACCAACCACAGAATTTTGGATAAGTTGAAGATTCTGAACCTACTGTGTTTTTTTACTAGGATCTCTAGATCCACCAGATCATTGTGCAAAAGACATGCATGTAGGGTCGGTGAATTCTGGTCCTACAAGCTTATTCTGAGTGCCAAAGTAGATACAAAGCACAATGCTCATATGAAGAATCAATTCTAGGTTACTTCACTATTTCCTCATTGTGTTGCCTCTGGTGTACTCACTGTGTTGGTTCACCTGGCCCCAGCACCTAGGGTAGGGAGTACAATTCCCCACTGTGCCTGTGAGCGAAGAGGCAGTCTGTACAACCTTAGGCAAGCTTTGAATCTCCCAAACACCACCAAAAGAGGGACTGGTACTTTACATCTGTAGAAAAAAACTTGGGAAGGGTCACTATAAGAAAGGTCTTATCAGCACATGATCATTATAACGATGAATCTGCAATTGTGTTCTTTTAGTTGATTCTCTAGTTCAGTGTTTCTCAAACTGGGGGCCCCAGATGTTCTTGGACTGCAATTCCCATAAGTCTTCACCACTTGCTGTGCTGGTCAGGATTT